TGGGCAAAGATGAATCTGTAGGCTCTAAGTTAAGATGTGGGCAGAGAAAAGTGTGCAATGGCATTATGCTAAGATTGTACAGCCAGTTTCCAGAACTGAAATTATATATGCGCTTGTTTTTTTTAGCACCCTGAAGCGGGCCCTTGAAGTCTTCAAGCAGCGTAAGTGACTCTTTAAAAATGTATTTGCTATCCTTGGCAAGCTCTGTTTCTGTCACCAAAGGTGGGGTTTTTTTTGTTGGTTTTTTTTAACTTTATTGGGGAACAGCCATGGTCATTGGTTACACATTGCTTCCATGCTACAATGGCATAGTTGACTCTTTAAGGGAGGGTGCAGCTCATAGTGGCCCATGCGGGGATCGAACCGGTAAACTTGGTGTTATCAGCACCGCGCTCCCACCAACTGAGTTAACTGGTCACACCCAAAGGTGGGTTTTAATTTGAACAGCAATCTCATATTGGGTGACAAAAAGTTAAAGCAACTAAGATGAGAAATAGCTCTGCAGAGTTGAAATGGGCCAGAGAATTCTCCACACCTCCACATCAGGACGTGCATTTGACTTCCTTAGAGCAATAGTTCTCACACTTGAAGCCCAGGGTGAGGCCCTGGCACTTTGGTCTTCAAGGGGTCCTGTTCAGTTCTAATATACCCCAGGCCTGTTACTGAGAAACTGCCTTTAGGACTTTCAGTCCTTCAGAATACTTGTTGCTTCCAAACTAAGGATTTCACCAAGGCATAGTATGTACATGTGCTTAAAGTGTTTCTGTAGCCAGTTGAGTGGTTCTAGACCTTTGTAAAGGTTAGCTAAATAAATATTCATCGTAACTTTTCCACCAAAGGTGTCCTCTTCCTCTTTAACTCATCAATGAATACATGTCTCAAGGTATGGACAGTATCTTTTCATGTTTCTTTTGGGCATCACAAAGCCAACCATGGTGGCCGGATGGGACTTCAGCAGAGGCGGAATCTCCTAAGCATATCTATTTGCTGTTACTTTTTCTTGCTTTCTTTTTTTCCAATAAGTGGTTTTATTTTTTTTATTAAGATAATAAATGTTTATATTAAAAATAAAATGAGACAGCTAACTATGAAGAAGATTAATAGTAAACGTCTGAATTTTCNAAAATATTTATTTTCTCTGGTTATGTAATCAATTTCATATTAGTTTAAGTTCATTTCAGTAAGTTATAAATTTCAAGGATTGTTTTCTTTTCCCTGTTTGATTTAGTTTTATTTTTTGAATATGTAAAACATTTACATGTTCACTGGTCAAAACTGTATAGACTTCAATAAGTTGCACTGTCATTCCAGGAGGGTTTAGAAAATTTCAAGGAAGACTAGTGGGTCAGCTGACAAAACAAAACAAAACAAAACAAACAAAAAACCACCAACTTATTATTTATTAAAAAAAAGCATAAGCCATTTGGGAAAATATACAAACGTTTTTGAGGTAATATGATGGAAAGACCCATATTCTCTCACATAGCAATTCTTGGAAAAGATATTTAGCAGAATGAGCCTGATCCAAAATGGTATTTCTTATATTCTTAAACATTTGACTTGTAACTTAGTAAATTCATAGAGAGACTCCAGCAGCATTTACTTCTGTTCCATGAGAAAAGCCAGTCAGCTTTCCTTCTAGGAGTATATACCTAGAGCAGAAATGCAACAGGATGTGAGACCTGGGGACTGTATTCTCAAGGTTGAAGTGAAAAGCCATATAGGTGGCTTCTGTTTTTGTCATCTCCATGATGATCTTTAGGAAGGGGCCTTAGATGAGAGAGTGCATGACTGCTTATCCATGGGCTAGGTAGGATTTTTCACCTCATCAGCCACATTGAGAGACTCTGGCCTCTGAGGGGCCTTGTTAGGGTTTAAGGACAAAGTGCTTATTAAAAAGGTGATAGACTATTTCCTTTTTGCACAGTAAAGGAGAACACCAGGCAGAAGAGGAGATGGAGGTTGCCAGGATACCATCCTCAAAGTTTAGATTCTAGCCCCTGATTGTCATCATGTCCTAAACACAGGAAATAACAATTAAGTGATGACATGAGACAGCAAAGCTAATGACAAGCTAAAGGGATATTGGAGCTAGTCCTTCAGTGGCCCTTCATTCAGTCACTTAAAATGGGAGAAAAATTTTAGACCCTGAACAGACTATTTATCTGTAAGCCTGGATTTCAACTCCATGACTCTCAATAGGGCAAGACTTCCAGTTGTATCTGCTGCCATATCCACCTTTGTTTCTCACTAATTCCAGTAATAAGTCCGTTCTTCAGTGATGCTCATTTGTTCTTCTGGACCATTGGTGTGTTTGTTTGGATGTGGACACCTTTCCAATGAACTGCATTCCTTGAAAATTTGTATCCTAAAATGGGTAAAGTGTATAGAGAATGTGC